GTCTGCTCCCTGCCCCTACCCATCCCAGTCTCTCTGTTCCATTTTTTTCTCTGATTATCTGTCCCCCTTCTTTCCTCTTTCACACACACACACACACACACACACACACACACACACACACTTCCACTTTCTACCATAAGAGGGCGACAGAGTCCATAACCCAGAGATCTCTGGCTCTTGAAGTCCCCAAATAACTCCCACAATGCAGCTCCTTCACCAAGGGCCTCTGTGTGACCGCTGTCTGCTTCCTTCTAAGGCAGCGGTTCTCAACCTTCCTAATGCCGCGACCCTTTAGTACAGTTCCTCCTGTTGTGGTGACCCCCAACCATAAAATTATTTTCGTTGCTACTTCATAACTGTAATTCTGCTACTGTTATGAATCGTCATGTAAATATCTGCTATGCAGGATGTATTTTCATTGTTACAAATTGAACATAATTAAAGCATAGTGATTAATCACAAAAACTATGTAATTATATATGTGTTTTCCGGTGGTCTTAGGTGACCCCTGTGAAAGGGTCGTTCGACCCCCAAAGGGGTCGCGACCCACAGGTTGAGAACCGCTGTTCTAAGGTGTCTCCGAGTCAATCTGCCTGCGGTGAGGAGCAGGTAGTTCTCACTCACCACTGCTCTCTGGGTGTTGAGGTATCTCAGGTCCCTGGCCTACTCCGTCACTGTGAATTGGCCAACAGCGCAGCCAGGGAAGGTGACCAGCCACATTCCTGAGCCCTTGCTATGTGCTGGACACTACATTCAACCAGTTGTATTCTTACTGCCGCCCCAGGAGACAGGCACCACTGCTAGCAACCCGACTTTACAGGTTGGGGAGCTGATGCCCCTACAGGGAAGTCATCCCAGCCAAGCACTTGTCTGAGTCAGGATGCAAACCCAGGCAGTCGGACCCTGGAGTGTACTCTAACCATTGTGCAGCCCTGCCTCTCTGAGAATCTCTCTCCTGGCTCCTAGTTCAGTGCTTGTCCTGCGGGGTCACCAGAGCTGCCCCTTCCTGTGGTCGGATGGGGCAGTAGATAGTGGCGCCCCGGGATCACTGCCCTGCTCCCCCGGGCAGTCTCTGAGTCCATCCAGCTGCTCCTGGGTCAGTGCTGGGCTCTCTGAACAGGTGGATAAGTCAGTGCCGGAGCCCGCAGACGAGGTGCCCACCCCAGGCGATGGGATCCTGGAACGTGACCCCTTCTTCTGCCCACCCACCGAGGCCGTGGCCCGAGACTTCCTGACCGACGCACTGGTCACCCTCCTGGTGCCCCTGCTGGTGGCCCTGCTGCTCACCCTGCTGCTGGCCTACGTCATGTGCTGCCGGAGGGAGGGACGGTGAGTGTGGCGGACAGGGGGCAGGTTGTGGGACTCCTTGTGGCACCTGTACTCTGTGGGGACCCAGACCCTCAGGGAGTGAGGTACTCAGACAGGAAGGGAGAGGGGGCCCCTTTCTAGGTCCTGCCTGGCACCGGGAGGAGGTTGTGGATAACAGTTAACCCCTCCCCCTGCTTTTCCACAGGCTGAAGAGAGACCTGGCCACCTCTGAGTGAGTAAGGGGAAGCGGGGGGCTGGGTGGGAGTCCCCTACCCTGTCAAGCTGGACCCTTCCACCTCCATGAGCAGCATAGACAAACCAGATCATTCTGAGATGAGGGGGCCACCCTGGCCTCTGAAGT